TGTTTTTTTTGCCATGACGCAGGTTGTAGTGGCGGAACCAGCACCCCAGTTTGGAAATGCTCTGCCGTTTATTCAAAACATTGGAGGGCATTTTTGTCACTTTCCGCTATTCTGTGCCTAATTTTTATCTGTGTTAATTGCAGGCTGTTCTTTGTTTATTCTGTATGTGCCACCCTGGAGAAGTTTATTGGGTTGCATTATTATTACTGCTATTGTAGTTTCACGTGTATGTAACTCGGCTGTACATGTTTTATAAACAAATGTACACTGTAGTTTGAATGCTGTACTGTGAGCGCTAAGTCAAAGTGCACTAGACGAACCGCATGTTCAATTCTACGAATTCCGAACCGCATATACCCGAACCGCGCTCGAAGGTGATTGACTTGAAATGTGTCCCCCAAGACCCTGCTCGTCTGTAGCATCAGGCACAGGCTCGGGAACCGGCTACAGTAAGAGATAAGCCGACAACTGTTGACTCGGGTTTGGGATCAGCTGACTCGGGTCTGTGATAGGCGCATGAGCACCGAAGCGATTTGGTGCGTGATGCCTACCGAACACCCTTTTTTGCCAAGGTTCGGAAACCGACTCTGCCTTCCCGGAACCCTCCTCTCCTGGCAAACCGAAGCACCACTGGTGCGCGCATAGTGCATCCGTGGAGAGCTAGCACCATGCGCGCACCAGCCGACGCGGGGCAGCACCAGTTGATATGGGGCAGCATGAGGTGCCCGCCAATTTGAACACCCCCCGAGTTCGACAAACTTTCTTCACACAATTGCCCGATCTGAAAAAGTCGAACAACCACCGTGTTTGACAAAATTGACAGACCATTAGGACCAAATTGACGAACCCCAGACCTCTTCCTCTCGTTCTAGAACCACACACGAACCAACCTTGGTACCGAAGCACCACGAACGAACCTATGCTGGTACCCGAGCCTAAACCCTGATGCGCCAGTCGAACAGGGCCAAATGTCCTGGAAATGTCCACGTCAGTCCCGAAAAAGACTTTCGAGTCAGTTCAAAAGAGTCCTGCGGGACGGTTTCAAGACTCTTTGAAACGTCACTGCAGACTTCCCACAAGACAGTTGCGGGATGGGGGTGCAAAATGTCCCGAATGTCTCTCGCGGGACACTTTCGGGAAGAATTTGGGACCTCGGAAAGTAGCGATGTAGACTGCTGTTTTACGGTAAGCTCATTCTTTTCGCTGTATATACGATAGTTTTTTGTTTTTTTAATTGGGCTTTGTAAAAATACTTTAAAATGGCTGCACGATTTACAAGTACCATGCTAGGCAAAACATGGTTTAACGTGTACAGATCTACATGCTGGTCATGTCCTCTATACGTGTTATAGCACCAGCTAGTACCGGAACATCCTACGCGGGGGCTGACTGCTTCACAGTACCGCGTACTGAAACAACCATGCAGAAAAAAACCACCTGCCCAGTATAGATAGTGCATGCGCGGCGCCATTTGAGGCGCCTCAATAGCCAGCATCATCCATGAGATCACCGCATGTCACACCATGGAGTGGATGCGCGGCGCGTACCACATCATGCATGAAATAACCGCCGATACTACCGCATGATGCGCGCGTACAATCTTACCCACTGTGAATTGCGAACGGCGTTCACGCCAAGGGCACGCCTTGCTCACGCAATATTCCGCGCTTCGAGCACATTATCTGAGCGAGTCGCCTTCACGCGACATTAGACTTCACGCGATTGGTGGAAACCGCAACACCAGTGACTTCTCTTCCTGCGGAAGAATGGCGACGAGCATATCGGATATAAATATTACCTCTTTTTTTCGTGTAATATGTCTGTTTCTTTCTGATGCTCTCAAGCCGTTATATGCTGTGTACCGCAACTGAATCACTCTCGCTTTCGACCTACCAAAATGGCTACCGTCATTCAAATCGCCGCCTGTCACGGCTGCCTGACGGTTCAGATGGCTAAAGGCGGCGGAGGCGGAGGGAAGGGCGGCGGCGGTAAAGGCGGAGGGGGCGGCGGTGGAAAGACCGGAGGTGGAGGCAAGGGCGCCAGCAGCGGCGCTAAAACGGGCGGCGGCGGCGGGGGTAAGGGCGCCCCGATTTCCGGCAAGACGGCGTCTCAGATCCAGAGCTCTTCCGCGAAGATGGGCGGCGGAACGGTGGCTAAGGGTTCCGCCGCAGCTGCGGCGCAGAGAGCGGCGGCTGCGCCGTCTAAGGTGACCGGGGGCGACGCCGCAGCCCTGCAGAGCTTTACCGCGAAGACTAGCGGAGGCGTGGAGAAAGGGTCGCCTGCGTCGCAGGTTCAAAGCACGGCGGCGAGTAACGAGGCGGGACAGGGGGAATAGGGAACCGGGGGCGAAATAGGTGTAAGTGTTGAAGGGACGGAGAATTTGTACGCGTTTGCCGTTATGAGTTTCTTACACGGTCTTGTGCAGGTTCAGGCTCGTTTAGGCGAAGATTTCCTTACCTTGTGCCTCACCTTTGTTTAGGTCACAGGAAAATGCTTGTAAAACCATAGAAAATCAGCAAACTTCATAACCTCGAGTGCATGGTTTTTGCCTGTAATTCTTGATTGGACGAGGTTTCCAACCTGGCAACTCGCTGCTGGAAGTCGATTGGCTGAAAATATAGCCCTGACGTCAGTTAGCCAAATCACTGTGCACCTGTCATCGATTTTCTGGAAATATCCAGCAAAATTGCCTGCCACGGAGGACAAAGTCACGGAAAGTCATTGGCTGTTTCTAGGACATTCTGCGCAAATGCAAAAATCCGCTCGGCAACTGTCGACTTCACCTTGCCTCAAACCCCCCCTATTCCCTACTCCCGTGTACTCTTCCTCGCCTCTTCCCATCCCCGTGTACCCACCTGCCCCTCCACCCTCCCTTCCCCTTCCCTTCCCCCCCATCGTCCCCCTACTGTATTTCCTTTCCCCCCTCCCCGCACCACGATGCCTGCCTGCCACTAGAACAGTTTTTCCAGCTCTCGCGCCTGCATTGAAAGTGGCACTCGAACACCATTTTATAATCAGTCACCTCGAACGTTTCTTTCAGGCCGAGCTCTAATCTTTCCTCTTTCACCAGCTTCCCTCGACAATTGCCATGGCGGCCGTTCTTCAAATTCCCGCCTCGGTCTCCAGCTATCGCCTCACTCCGGTCTGCAAGGGGCGTGGCGGTGGCGGAGGAGGCGGAGGCAAGAGCGGCGGCGGCGGTGGCAAGGGCGGCGGTGGCGGCGGGAAGAGCGGCGGACTCTCCCAGCAGTCTGCCGTTCAAATCCAGAGCCTCGCTGCGCGCCAGGGCGCAGCGGGGAAGGGCTCGCCGGCGGCCGCGGCGCAGAGGGCGGCGGCTGCGCCGTCGAAGGTGACTTCGCAGAACGCGGCGACTCTGCAGAGCTTCACAGCGACGACTTTCGGCGGAGTGGAGAAGGGTTCGTTCGCGTCGGAGGCTCAGAGCCAGGCTGCGACGAACGGCAAGTAAGGACGAACAACGTCCAGCTGAGCGCGTTGGAAGCTGCGCAATTCTAGCAGCGTGCTCGATACAGGCCACTTTTCTGGCGTGGCTTGTGGTGTAGATATTGTGTATAGTGAGTGAAATGTGTGAATATATTGTCTTACGGTAATATTGTGATGCATGGACAAGTGCACGTAACAATTACTGTTTGAAAGGAATGCGAGCCGGGAACATGTGACTTCAAGTTGTGGTTGCGCATTAAAACGGACAACTCTATACTGAAATTTTACGGACAGCAGATTTAAATGCAAGTTTCTGCACCCTCATCTCTGAGGAAGTGATATTGGAAGATTAACCGCTGCACCGGACCGCGTGCGGTACCACCAGCATGCAGGAGATACCCGCACGCCGCACGATAGACGGAATGTGAGGCGCATAGGACTAGTTACCTATTGCGCGGGAAAACCCTCGCATACCGAAGACCCTTCACGCCAAGAGCACGGCTTGTTCACGCATAGAGTGCATGTACGATGCTTGGTACCCTTCCACATCCGCGCTCCGAGCACAGTATCCGTTCAGCGAGCCGCCTTCAAACGATATTCGGCTTGTCGTCTAGAGTGACCCCCATTAAAGCTACAGAGAAACAATGTTTGCATAACGTCACCTTATAAAGAGGCACCCGTTCAGTTCGTTGAGATAGGATTGGCCTGCTTCCATTAGAGCTCTCAGGATTCGCGCTCGGCATCGACCATTTGCTTTCACAACTCGAGTGGTTACTCTCGACCTTCGGAAAAATGGCGACTCTAATGGCACCCGTGCGACGGTCAAGTTTCACATACGGGCGTTTCGTTCAAATCGCGGCCTATCATGGATCTTCTAACGCTCAGAAAGGCAAAGGCGGCGGGGGCGGGGGCAGCAAGAGCGCCCCGATTTCTGGCAAGACAGCCTCTCAGATCCAGAGTTCTTCCGCGAAGATGGGCGGCGGAACCGTGGCGAAGGGCTCCGCCGCAGCTGCGGCGCAGAGAGCGGCGGCTGCGCCATCTAAAGTGACGGGGGGAGACGCCGCGGCGCTCCAGAGCTTCACCGCGACGACGACGGGAGGCGTGGAGAAAGGGTCGCCTGCGTCGCAGGTTCAAAGCACGGCGGCGAGTAACGAGGCGGGACAGGGGGAATAGGGGGAAGAAGGGGCGATTTACGCGAGCAAATTGAAGGACGACATTGAACGCGTTTGTAGCTGACCATGTTTATCAGTTAGTGTACATAACTGTTTCGTAATACAACTAGTCAGTGACAACAATGTTATAGATTACGAGGGGCGGGGAACTAATGCCATCAGATAAAAAAAAACAAGCAATGCATGCGTTTGTATTTCCTGTTAACCAGTAGAAAAAAGTCTTACCTGAAACCAATCCCTGATGTCCTGTTGTCTTAGTACTGGATATTACCAATACAGTCTAGCTTAGTGAGTTGCACTCCCAACTCTATGTTGATCACCAGGTCCTGCTTTGACAAGAGACTTGATCGAGAACGTCATAATGCCATTTTTTAATGCTCACAAAGGCGCTTATTCTTGGACGTAGTTGGGGTTCACGGCTAGAACCCGCTCCTCCAGAGCCGTGGGCAGAGGCTTGTCGAATGTCGGAAGAGGTTCACTTGCTGCTTCTGCAGCAGCAATTGCATCCTCCCGCTCCTTCCTGGCAGCTTCCACGGCTGTAGTCCCATCGTCTAAAATCAGCAGCACTCCCTCTCGACGAATCAAATGCTGTGAAACGACAGAATTGGAAACAGCATCGGAAACAAAATGGCCCACAGAAATATTGGTCCACACAGAAACGGCACAGAAAGATCAAGCTCAGAAAAAAAGTGTGAAAAAAACACAATAAATCATCATGAAGATAATCCTCCCGATCCAGTAAAACCACAAGACGAGCAGACAGAATCACTAAACGTAACAACTACTTAAGAAACAAAGGGGGCATGCCTGACCTGAATGATGGATCGCAGCACTCTGAATTCTTGCAGCAAATTGCCAACCGAGTCCACAGTGCCTGCTTGGCTCTGCTGCTCCATATACCATCGCATCACATCCCCTTGCTTCACCCCCCCGCCCCCCACACCCCCTTGCACCCCCTCCACTCGCCTTCTCTTCCTCTTCCCCCCGTCCTCCTCCTCTCCTCCCCCTCCTTCAGTTCCCCTCTCCCCTTCCTCTCCACCCTTGCCTGTACCAGTTGCTCCCTCCCCTGCAAGTGAAGCTTCCTCAGAAGCTTCCTCCGCCTCTTTTTGTCTTATGTAGGTCACCAGCAGCGCCGTGACTCGCTGCAGCTTGTCGTACGGCACACGCAGAGGGGCGGTAGGCTTTGACTTCTTCTGGCTTGCTTTGTTGTCTTCACCGCCATCCGCTGCATCCCCTTCCTTTGCCGTGCCTTCTGTTGCTGATGCTCCTCCTTGTTTCTTCTCCTTGCCTTTCTTTGTTGTATCACCCGTTCCTGGTTGTGTTTGCTCATCTGATCCTCCTCCTCCTCCTCCTCCTTCAGTTTCCGTAGCCCCATTCGCACCCCCATCTGTTTCCATGTCTTCCCTCCCTCCTGATGCCTCTGCTCCTGCTCCGCCTCCCCCTCTCGCTCCCCCTCCTCCCCCTCTCGCTCCCCCTCCTCCCCCACCCCCACCGCGATCATCACCACCACTCCCTCCCCCTCCCCCTCCCCCTCCGTCTCCGCCTCGCCCTCCCCCATCGCCCCCATCCCCCTCCCCCATCATGAACGGCATGTCTTCCATCCCCTCCTCCCCTTCCCCATTCGCCCCCTCATCCTCCAGGTCCACGTCATGGCTGTCAATGCTGATGTGGCAGTCAAGAGGGGTCGATGGGAGTAAAGGGGACAAAGGAGTGAACACAGGTGAACGGGAGTCAAGAGGGGAAAGTGCTGCCGTGCATCGACAAACCAGGATTAGATGGGAGTAAAGGGGAACATGTGTGTGTGCATCGATTAGATGGGAGAACACAACACAACATGGATGGCACATACATCACAGCAAGTCTACAGCTGTAATGTGCCATCCTTTGTATTGTGCCACACACACATACCTGATGATGGACGTGCTCAGTAGCCTCTTGGCTTCACGCACATGAGCTGGCTTCACCTGATTTGTCGGGGAGCACATGGGGGATGAGAGTGGACTATGGGAAAGAACGGGATAGGAGGAGGGATTGGTGGATGGATGGAATATGGGGGAAACCACCTTTCACGCATATACCTACCCCAACATACCACTTATCCCAACCCCACCGGCTCACCCACCTGTGAGTCCAGGTCCAGCCAAGCCAGCGCCTCTGATAGGGATTTTTTTTAGCATTCTCCATAGAATCTCTTACAGCAGCACCAGAGCCTCTCCAGCTGTCGCACTGCACTGCAGGCACCAGTGCCTACCAGCTGTTACTACCACCCACACTGCTTCACCCAGCCACACCGCTTCACCCTTCCCCACCGCTTCACCCACCTGGGAGTCCAGGTGCAGGCGAGCCAGCGCCTCTGATAGCCGCACCAGAGCCTCCAGCTGTCGCACCGTGATTCGATACGATGACTGAGACCCCGGTGCGGCATCCCCTCTCCTCAGTGACACATAGGCCTCTACTAGGCGAGTCTTTGCCTCCTCTGTGATCTGATTGTAAGGGGGGAGGGGAGTTGAGGGGGAGTGGGGGGGTTTGGAGGGAAGGAGTCATGGAGGCAAACAAAAACCAGGAGTCATGGAGGCAAACAAAAGCCAGGAGTCTGTAACTAGACGTGTTTTTGAGACGTCTCAAAAGTCTGTAACTAGACGTGTTTTTGAGACGTCTCAAAAGTCTGTAACTAGACGTGTGCGATTTGATAGGGAGGGCCGGAGGGGGGGCATGGATGCAATGCGGGGAAACCATGGGAGACAAGAATCATCGCCCTGTTTGAGGGAGGGAGTGAGTGATTTGATACGACTACTGTGATCCCGGGGTGGCATTTCGCCGTTTGAGGGAAGAGAGGTAAGCCTGACACGTAAGCCTCTACTAGGCGGGTCTTGGCTTCCTCTGTGATCTGATTGTAAGGGAAGAGAGGGGTGGGGGAGGGTGCGGGAGGGTGTGGAGATGGATGCAGACAAGACCAGAGGCACATGCATGCATGCTCTTGGCTCCCCTGTGATTTGATTGTGGAGTGTGTATGCACGCTTTCATTGATTTTCAGGGACAGACATACTCACCTCTGGGCGGATGGAGCGCGCGAATTTAATGTATTTCTGCAGCTGCATCGGTGAAAATTCTGGCTGTAAGGCTTGGACCCGACTCTGGTGAACACCCAGGATTGGCAGGGCCTGCTGGGACTATCCCACCGCCTCCCTGGTGCAAGCCCTTGGGCTAAACTATAGACGCATGCATGCATGTTGTGTGCTTGCTGTCATTATGACTAAGGACACATACACACACACACAAACACACACCTCTGGGCGGATGGAGCGCGCGAATTTGATGTATTTCTGCAGCTGCAGCGTTGAGAACTCCGGCTGTAGCGCTTGGTCCCGACTCTGGTGCACACTCAGGATGTGGCGAGCAACCGAGTAGTCATGCACGGGGTCTGGCGTGTCCAGCATGACGTGGACGAGGTCAAAGCGGGACAGGATGGCTGGTGGCAGAGCCACATTGTACTGAAAGAGGGAATGGGAAAGGCGAGAGAGGGGAAGTCAGGGGAGGGGAGGGGAGGGGATGAAGAGCATGATTCACACTCAGGATGTGGCAAGCCACGGAGTAGTCATGTATGGGGTCTGGCGTGTCGAGCATTACGTGGACGAGGTCGAAGCGGGACAGGATGGCTGGTGGCAGAGCCACGTTGTACTGACATGGGGAATGGGTAAGGGGGAGAGGGGATCATGGGAAGGGAGGCGTGGGGTTAAGTGGAAGGTAAGATGAGCAAGGGCATGGTGCAGTGGGAGTGAGGATGTGCCGGGCCACTGAGTAGTGAGTGGGTCTGGTGTGTCCAGGGTCACATGGACCAGGTCAAACGGAGTCAGGATGGCCGGTGGCAGAATAAGTTTTTTTCTGAGGGGTTTAGAGCGGTCGTATCGTCCTCCGGTGGGGTTGGCATGGCAGCAGTGAGGATTGACGTGCGTGTGTTGATGCGGACGAGGCATGTCTTGAACTTTGTCATAAAGAGAACAAGCTTACTCGAATACGCTATTCTGATGGCTTACTCTGAGAGGTTTGGAGCGGTCGTATCTTCCCCCAGTGGGGTTGGCAGCAGCGAGGATGGACGTGCGTGCATTGAGAGTGGCTTGAATCCCCGCCTTGGTGATAGAGATCGTCTGCTGCTCCATGGCTTCGTGAATAGCCACCTGCATGGGTGGGTGTGAGAGTGGGATAAAAGTGCATGTGATGAGAGAGGCAGTCTGCGTGTTAACTAGACATGCGTGCATGAATGATTGCTCTGAATGATTGCTCTGAAGGATTGGTCTGAAGGATTGGTCTTTCGCTCACGTGGTCTTCCCCTAACCTGGTCTTTGATATCCATCTTATCGAACTCGTCGATGCAGTGAGTTGACTTCTGAGTTGGCTTGGAAGTCGGCTCTGGATGATATCGCAACGCATTCCTCTCACTCACCTGGTCCTTGATATCCATCTTATCAAACTCGTCAATGCAGCAGATGCCATTATCCGCCAGCATCAGCGCGCCCGCCTCAATGCAAAACTCCCCTGTCTCTGGCTCCTTCACCACACTTGCAGTCAGCCCCGCCGCACTGCTGGACTTGCCAGAGGTATACACGGCTCTGGGAAGGAAGCCAGCCACGTACCTGGTGGTGGAGGGGAGGACGTGAAAGTAGACAGAGAGGGAAGACAAGGAGCGAGGACAGAGAGGGAATAAGCATTATAATGCAAAACACCCATGTTTCTGGCTCCTTCACCACACTTGCTGTCAGCCCTGCCACACTGCTGGACTTGCCAGACGTGTACACAGCACTGGGGAGGAAGCCAGCTAGGTTGACGGTATGTTAGACGCACGCACGCACTCACTTGAGGAACTGCGACTTGGCGCAGGAGGGGTCGCCAACGACACACACGTTGATATCCCCACGCAGGTTGATGCCCTCGTGGGTCTTCTTGTGCACGCCACCAAACAGCATGAGCAGGATGGCTCGCTTGATGTCTGCATGCCCGTAGACTGATGGTGCCACGCTCGCCACCAGGCGCTCATAAAGATTGCCACCTGCTCTCATGCGAGCCATTTCCTCACGCTCTTCCGGCTGAGAGAGGGTGGGGGGAAAAAGGGGGAAGGAGGAGGGGCGGTTCAGAATAGATCAATGAATGCAAGCCATCTCTTCTTGTGCACGCCACCAAACAGCATCAGCAGGATGGCTCGCTTGATGTCTGCATGCCCGTACACCGACGAGGCCACACTCGCCACCAGGCGCTCAAATATGTTCCCCCTGCCCTCATGCGAGCCATTTCCTCACGTTCTTCCGGCTGAGAGAGGGGGAGGAAGGGGAGGGGGAAGGAGGAGGGTGGCTCAGAATAGATGCTCGCATGAATGCAAGCCATCTCTTCTTGTGCACGCCACCAAACAGCATCAGCAGGATGGCTCGCTTGATGTCTGCATGCCCGTACACCGACGAGGCCACACTCGCCACCAGGCGCTCGTACAGATTCCCGCCTGCCCTCATGCGAGCCATTTCCTCGCGCTCCTCGGGCTGGGAGAGGGGGAGATAGGGAGGGTGGGGGAGGGAAAGGACGGCGCCTGATATTCACAAGATGGCTCTCTTGGTACCCTAAACGCTGCAGCAAGCTACTGTATTGCAACACACCGCACCAAACTGCACCACACTGCACCGCACGGCACCGCACGGCACTCCAACGTACCGTGAACGAAGCGATCGCACTGCCCTCCTCGTCCTCCGCCCGGATATTCACCAGCTGCTTCTCCTGATCCCTCGACTGCACAGAACACGTTAAGAATGCTGCACCAGCCTATTCCTCTCCACCATACCGCACCTAACTGCACCGCACTGCACCTGAACATACCGTAAACGACGCGACAGCACTGCCCTCCTCGTCCTCCGCCCTGATATTCACCAGCTGCTTCTCCTGATCCCCCGACTGCACAGAACACGCCAAAAACGCCAACCGGTACGACAAATCCCGCACCCCCAGCGCCTTCAGCCCCCTTACCCCCTCACTCCCCCCTCCCCCAGCTCCCCCACCCCCTCCCCCCAGCAGCTCCCCCCCTCCCCCACCCTCTCCGCCTCTCCCGTCCCCCCCTTGGTTCGACCGCATAGCCTCATGCCTCTCCCCAGGGCGGGTCAAAGCAGCCACATCAGGGACCACTACCAGCGTCCCAGAGAATATACACTTATCGCCGGCTCTCGCCTGCTCCACCAACTCATGCCTCAAGATCACGTCTAGAGTGCGGGGGAGTGACCCAGGAGGGACTTCATCTGCGTTTTCCTGAACCCGGACTCTTTGCCAGTCGACAAACTGGCATTCAGTTCGCTCTAGCGCCCATTTTTCTCTGTTAGAGCATGCTGCGTTACTGCATATGATGGGCTGAGTGTATTTGAACTGCTGCTCGATGTTCCGCTGCACCGCGCCGCACTCCAAGCATCGGAACGTGCCGTACAGCAGCTCCGGCCGGACCTCGGAGGTTCGGACGACCACACCACTCACTGCGGATAGCTGGCCTAGCACCTCCACCTTCATGTCTCTCAGCCTGAGGGGAGAGGAGTGGAAGGGGGGGAGGGGAAGAGTGGAAATGAAAGGAATGGAGAGGGATGGCAACACCAGAGGAAGGCCACACCACTCACTGCGGATAGCTGGCCTAGCACCTCCACCTTCATGTCTCTCAGCCTGGAAAGGGGAGGAGAGGAAGGGGAGGGGGAAAGCAGGGGAGAGAAAAGGGGAAGGGGATGGGATGACAACAGCAGAGGACGAGACCAAAGGTCAACCACACCGCTTACTGCAGATAGTTGGCATAGCACCTCTACCTTCAAGTCTCTCAGCCTGAAAGGAGGGGGGGCGGAAGGGGAGGAAGGGAGGCAACAAGAAGAGATGAGAGGAATGTGTGACAATGGCAGAGGACGACAACAGAGGACAACCACGCCTGAGAAAAAACCTGGGGCGAATCCGAATCCTCACTTGTGGATGACGGGGAGGTTTGTAGAAGGCGAGGTAGAACTCCTTGGGCTTGCCCTCGTCCATCACGTACTTGGGTCGCGCACCTGAAAAAACACCTGAGGAAACACCTGAACAAACACCTGGGGTGACTCCGAATGCTTACTTGTGGATGACTGGAAGGTTATAAAAAGGCGAGGTAGAACTCCTTGGGCTTGCCCTCGTCCATCACATACTTGGGCTCGTGCACCTGAAAAAACACCTGAACAAACACCTGGGGCGTCTCCAAATCCTTACTTGTGGATGACAGGGAGGTTGTAGAACGCGAGGTAGAACTCCTTGGGCTTGCCCTCGTCCATCACGTACTTGGGCTCGTGCACCTGCACAAACATCTGCACCGCCTTGCGCAGGAACGGCTCAAACCTGCACGCATGTATGGAGACGCATGCATGCATGCAGCAAATATGCATGCAAGAAAAGAATACGTGGAAGTTACTTACTGGAGCAAAATATACAATTCAAGCAAAAAAGGTGTACTAAAATGAACAAAATAACAATAAGTTGCAAGTGTGTGTCATGAGCGTGGCAAAGTCCACATGCATGGTCGTCTTGCCTTACTGCACCATGGACCACATTGCACTGCACTGCACCGCTGCATACCCACTGCTCTCCCACTCCACTCTTCCCTCCCTCCCACTCACCGGTAGACCTAGACCTCCTCCAACACGACCGTGGCGAGCGCCTGGTTGTGCGTCATGAGTGTGGCGAAATCCACATACATGGTCGTCTTGCCGTACTGCACCATGGAATGCAGCTGCGCCACATACTGCATGGATGAACGCATTGCACCGCACTGCACCGCTACTCACCGGTAAAACTCCTCAAGAACCGCTGTGGCGAGCGCCTGGTTGTGCGTCATGAGGGTCGCAAAGTCCACATACATGGTCGTCTTGCCGTACTGCACCATGGAATGCAGCTGTGCCCTGGGCCGCACTGGACCGCGTTGCACCATGGACCGTGTTGCAACATGGACCGCACTGGACCACACTGCACCACTACTCACCGGTAAAACTCCTCCAACACAGCCGTGGCGAGCGCCTGGTTGTGCGCCATGAGGGTGGCGAAGTCCACACATGGTCGTCTTGCCGTACTGCACCATGGAATGAACCGCACTAGACCGCATTGCACCGCTACTCACCGGTAAAATTCCTCCAGAATTGCCGTCACGAGCGCCTGGTTATGCGCCATGAGGGTCGTGAAGTCCACATACATGGTCGTCTTGCCGTACTGCACCATGGAATGCAGCTGCGCCACGTACACTCACTGCACCATGAACCACACCGAACCGCACTGAACCGCACTGCATCAGTACTCACCGGTAAAACTCCTCCAGAACCGCTGTGGCGAGCGCCTGGTTGTGCGCCATGAGGGTGGCGAAGTCCACATACATGGTCGTCTTGCCGTACTGCACCATGGAATGCAGCTGCGCCACGTACTCGCGCACCATTGGCCCGTCCTCCGCCTCCTCCTCGTGCTCCTCGCCTCTCTGCTCCGCACTGCCACGCAGGTCCCGTCCAGTCAAAAATAACCATCCAGATTCAACCAGACATAGCCATTCATATCCAACGAAACATAACCTTCCAGATCCAGGCAGACATAGCCATCCAGATCCAGGCAGACATAGCCACCCAGGTCCACATGGCCAGGCAGTCATTAACCAAAAACCAAACTTCAACGACCATAATAGCAACGGGAAATCCATTTTCCAATGAGTGGTAGCCATAGACTCACATCCCCGTGAATAAGAGATCACCATCAGCTCCATGCTTCCGTTTTTTACTAAACAAGGATGTCTAGGCAGTCACTAAATTTCCTGTGATGGCATTCATGCCTTTCGTCGAGCGTCTTCCAACGATCCGTGAATTTAATAATTATTGCCAGAAAAACACATTGCGAAGTAAAAGCTCATCTAAAGCATTTCCTCTGAAAGAGAAGGAAAATGTATTTTCGCAACGTTGCTTACGTTTGCAAGAAGTCGAAGAAGCTTCGCTGAACATTCTCCCCCTGAGTGTCGACAGCCGAAGCGCGTGGGAAATCCGGCCTGCCTTGACCACCAAAACCCCCTCCCACCGGAGCAGCACCAGCTCCAACTCCGTTCATCATGCCAATATCTTGCAAGTATTAGGACTAGAGCTAGATCGGTGTCAAGTTGTCAAAGTTAGCTAAGCGTAGATCGTCACAAGTCAAACCTTCTAGATGTGTAAGAAGACTAGCAGACTCAAGCAAGAATCACTCCGACATTCAGCGGAGTCCATTCCCGCCAAAACTTCAACGCGAGGGGAGAATCTTGATGCTGTCAGATCACCTAAATTTTGGATATGTACGCAATACTGAAAGTTGCCTTTTGCGAAAGTCGATAGTGCAATGCATTGTACTGGATACCAGAAGAACAATACATGCAGGCTGTGGTTGTGGTTTCGCTCGGCGAAACCCAACGTTGTGGTTTCGCTCGGCTTCGGGGGTGTTCTTCGCAGGCTGTAAACCAGGTGAAACCACACCGCGGCGTTACCACACCTGAGGTTTTGCATAATTGTTCGCCTCGCATCCCTCCAACAGTTCGTTCAAATGACATCGCTGACGAGAAATTGCACCCATATTTGTCAAACCAATGTCAAAAGGATCCTAGTCGTCCATTACCTGAAACCTGACTGATTGACGGCCGACATACACAGACCCCACAACAGAATGCACCGCCCAGAGCACTTCTGATCACCAGCCGAGGAAACCTTCACCCCAACAACACCAGTGAGGGCGCAGATTCGTAAGGGCGGGTCAAACTTTGTACACGAACGAAACTTTTCAGATCAGTTACCAGAATTGCGCATGTAACAGAACTTTTTCGTACAAAATCTGTAAGGATTTACAGATCCTTACTGAGGCACTCGTTAGCGAGGCCATCCCGAGGGTCACGCGACGAACCTGACCTTCCTATTTCGTCGCACCGAACCACTCCCGAGTCGGCCTCCGCTCCAATCGCAACCATCACCGAGCCATCCTCGCCCAACCTCCCCGCCTAGCTAGGTTTTCCCCTATTTAGGCCTCGCTACTTCATTGTTTCTAATTCAGTACTCAATCATTCTCGATATTCGATATTCTGCGCACTCTGCAAGTTGATTCATAACACCTGGTATCAGAGCTACTTTCCTAGCTCACCCCGCTTTCTAGAGTGTAATACCCCTCGGGGGGGGGGGGGGGGGGGACGAGGAAGGATGTCTTGGGGTCCAGGAGTTGCGTAGGCCGGCCAGGAGAACGCGTTAGTTGCTCTTCGCGGCCATAGTTTTACGGGTACTCCTTCGGCACCGCCAGATCCTTGCCTCGAACGGTCGCGATCGACCGTGGCCTCCCTCCCCCCGGGCAACGGACAGCTGTAGCTGTCGCGACATTAAACGTGAGTTTCTATTCCGCTGCGGTTGTAACGACTATTTCGGATTTTTGTGAGGCAGCTGGCGTCAGCGGACCTGCGTCGGCACCTGCACGAAATTTGCGGAAGTCGTCAGCGTGTGTGGCAGTTGACGCCGTTGGACCTGGGTCAACAGTTGCGCGACAACTTCGGAGTCGTCCCATGCGGCAAGTGACAACGGTGGCTCGTCGTCATTTTGCGCGCGTGACTCACGGAGTGTGGCTCGGCAGCTGGCGACAAGGGACGTGCGTCACTGTGGCGATAATTTCGGAGCTACTGTGGAGAAAAGGTCGGCTGGGGAACTCGCCAGGCGCAAATGGAGTTTTGCGTCCGGAAATGTCGGTGGCGAGGAGAGACGACACTAGACTGCCCGACTTAGCGGGAGTCAACTGCCGTCCCGCCCGACCTGTTAAGTGCGGCGGCTTATACTGCATTGGCGAGCGCGTCATCAGCAATTTTCGGCAGGAGTGCTCGTGGACAGACGTGACTTCATACCGCTGACACTTACGAGCTGCAACGGAAAACGCGGTGGCTAAATCGCACTTACGAGAAGTGGGACGCAGGCGACGAGGGAAATCGAGGCAGGTACACCTCGAAACAACTCGGCGACACTACGTGCCTGGTGTTGTTGCAAGCTGGCCGGCAGTATCGAGAACAGTTTCCACTGACCAAGGACGTTGTTTTCGGGGACAGCTGCTGACAACCCACGGTTAAACGGTGTCCAAGGTACCACCCGACAATTTTGGAGGGGTCGGTACAGGCTGCCGGGACACACGGAAAGAAACGGCCCAACGGCTATGTCAGAATCCCAACCACTAGACCATTGGGATAAAAGGGCTTTTTTTCAGTAGCGGGTCAGTGCGCCCATAACCCCCCAGGCAAACGCGCCTGTAACCCCCCCTAGGATCGATCGGGTATCTCACAATGTAGCTCTACTGACACCCCCCCACACTGGGAGGCCCAGGACTAAGCACAGCGGCAACGGCCTACATGTGCATACACCGGGAATCGAACCCGAGACCGCTCTGATACCATGTCAGAATCCCAACCACTAGACCATTGGGATAAAAGGGCTTTTTTTTCAGTAGCGGGTCAGTGCGCCCATAACCCCCCAGGCAAACGCGCCTGTAACCCCCCCTAGGATCGATCGGGTATCTCACAGTGTAGCTCTACTGACAGGCTAAGCGGGGGTTGAAGAACTTCGTGGGGGCAGATTAAAAGCCGGTGGAACCGATCTGCGGCCTACTTCGCCCGAACCTCACCATCCCCACCAAGTCTTAGTTCTGACTCATGCAGTCAACTTACTTGGCCGAATAACGGGGGTGAACACGTGCCTACCCTGTGCTGGTTAAAGGCACCTGGATTGGTGTTCGTCCGACAGCTGTACAGAAAAATACAAAAAAAGTGGAGCTCGCGGCACTGTTTTACTCCGACAAAAGCGGGCTGAGTGAACGGCACGCAAAAAAGTCGGGGAGCAGCGAAGAAGAATTGGTACAGTCTACAGGTTTCTCCTGACCCGGGCGTCTACACGAATTGAAGGCGCAGTGGCGAAGCTGAGACCGAGAAGCTGTGGAATTTTCGTGGCGTGATAGGCACGGCGGGCTGCAAAACTGTTGGGCGATAGTTTCCTTTTAACTAAGGCTACCCCGACTCCGATAGTTTTTGCCTCTCCACCGGGGCCGAGTTCGCGCGGGCAACAACGACGATACCTCATCCGACAAAAGCGGACGCTGGGTGAACGGCGGGAAGCGGAATTGTCGGGGGGTGAATACGAAAAAATACGACGACGGAGGGAAAGTTGTGGGTGATCCAGCAGATCACTTGAGTGATAGGTTGAGCCCGTGCACCAATCCACCGCGAATTTCGGAGTCTATTCGGTAGACCCCCGAAAGGGTTTGATATTGTTACATGGAGGCGCGGCGAGCGGTACATTGCCAATGATACCTGGGATTCGCTAAGTGGTTCCGACGGGTATGAAGATGGGTGAACATCGGAGTACCAGGGAAAAAACGGCGGAAACGTCGGGGCTATACGGCGGAGAATAACTTCGGGAGTGCAGCCTCAACCACGATTTTCGGGGTTTACAAAAAAAAAAAGTTGAAGCTGAGGGTGTTTCTTCGCTTCTTGGAGTGCGGTTGAGCCGTTGGGGGACTTCGCCTGAAGGGTCACTTTTAAGTCGCCTGGCAAGAAACACAGCGGCGGGGATACCTAGAACCCACTGGTGTTTAAATGTACACCGCGGGAAATTCTTCAGTTAAAGGGAGCGTGGGAGCAGCCGAAGTTTTCGGATTTACCTACCGGCGACGAGCGATGGGTGAACATCTGCAAAGCGCCAGTGAGAGTTTTGCGTGGTTTTCAGTTAAACTACATCGGCGGGAGCAGTTTCGACGAGGGGGTCAACGGCGTTGATGCCACTAGGTTCCGTGAAATTCGGTCTCGGAAGACCCAGGGCAGTCCCCGGTTCTCGATTGAACCCACACGCTGGGGTCGGGTAACCGAAGGAAACTGATGGTGACCGGGTGGGCGGCTATAGAACGACCGAGATTTTCGGAGGAGAACTGCACCTGCATCTGCGGATTTTCGGGGCTGTATTCAAACGACATTTTCGAAGTTTACGCGGGACTTAACAGGTTTTACGGCGAGAAGCGTAGACAATTTCGGAGGAGAATTCGGCGTTTGGTTAAACGCGCGCGACATTCACGCAGGGCAACACCGCGGGAATTACATGGAGTTTTCGAGGGGTACGAACGACTTACGACGAACTGAAGAAGGCGGCAACAACAGTGACGGGGGGGGGGAGCGACAGCTGTAAAATTTCATCCCTGCCCTTTAACTCTCGGCGCATTACGACAAATTTCTCGGAGAAACCATTCCAACTCTGCTACCGACAACTCGTCTTCGACCCGCCCACGACAACCGAAATCATTTCAACCACGTCAGGTGCTGCCAGCTGCAGATGCTGAAGATATCGTCTGATTTTCCGATGATGTGAAGACAAAACAAGTTCATTTCGAGCAACTTGGATTTTCCGTCGCGGTTTTTGGTCTACTTCAAAGGGTTCGCCCATGAGGAATTTTGGGGCACATACACCTGGTTTCGTCATCGAGTTTCCACACCGACACGTTTTCACCTTGTCTCCTATGCTCAACGCTCGTTTTCAGTGGGACTTAACACCTGGTTCTGTTGGGTTTTACTTCGGTGCAGCTTTGAAGATTCTGTGGACAGCTTTCTTGGAGGGGGGGAGAAAGTGCGCTGCACTGTTCTTTCCTTGGCGTTTTTCTCGGTCCTTTCTGAGTTTGTCAGGTTGCGTCAGCACGACGGACGATCGCGATCACACCGACACGATCAACGATCCCTGCTCAATCGCGTTTGAATTCGCGTCAGCAGGTTCCCTCTCTTTTCGCGTCAGTCTTCGACCGTCAGATCTACACCTGCTCGATCTACGGCCCACATTCCAACTTCTACTTCATTTTGGGCAGTTCATCTTCGACCGTCAGATCGAAATCGGACTTCATCAACGGCTTACATTCCAACCGAAGATCCACGGAATCCTCGCTAGTGTGGGGCCTGTTTCAGTACAGGGCTGCCTTATTTAGAAGGTGGGAGAGTGTAAGGATTTACAAATCCTTACTGAGGCACTCGTTAGCGAGGCCATCCCGAGGGTCACGCGACGAACCTGACCTTCCTATTTCGTCGCACCGAA